AGTTCTCTTACATTCTTCGCACTCCATATATAGACTAACATATTTAAGTGCGCTGTTGCCCTCAACCACACTTGGAGTGGGGGTCGTCCGTAGGTGGATTTTTGACGCGGGTCTTACCCCGTGTTGAGATTGCGCTGGAACCCCCATTCCCTATACTACTGCCTGTTGAGTTAGTTTGGTATTTTCTTTCAACCTGATTTTTAAAATTCACTTTGCAGCGGGTCACATAAAGGAACATTGCGTAAAATTACCGCGACCAATATCAGTACACCAATGCAGTGATATACAAACACAATATGCAATACACTGATACAACAACACACTGATACAACAACACACTAATACACTGATACAACAACACACTGATACAACAGCACACCAATACACCTGATACAACAACACACTGATACAACAGCACACCAATACACTGATACAACAATACACTGATACAACAACACACCAATACACTGATACAACAACACACTGATACAACATCACACCAATACACTGATACAACAGCACACTGATACAACAGCACACCAATACACTGATACAACAACACACTGATACAACATCACACCAATACACTGATACAACAACACACTGATACAACAGCACACCAATACATTGATACAACAACACACTGATACAACAGCACACCAATACATTGATACAACAACACACTGATACAACAGCACACCAATACACTGATACAACAGCACACTGATACAACAGCATACCAATACACTGATACAATACACTGATACAACAACACACTGATACAACAACACACTGATACAACAACACACTGATACAACAACACACTGATACAACAACACACTGATACAACAANTGATACAACAACACACTGATACAACAACACACTGATACAACAACACACTGATACAACAACACACTGATACAACAACACACTGATACAACATCACACCAATACACTGATGCAACAGCATACCAATACATTGATACAACAGCACACTGATACAACATCACACCAATACACTGATACAACAACACACTGATACAACATCACACCAATACATTGATACAACAACACACTGATACAACAGCACACTGATACAACATCACACCAATACACTGATACAACAATACACTGATACAACAGCACACCAATACACTGATACAACAGCACACTGATACAACAGCACACCAATACACTGATACAACATCACACCAATACATTGATACAACAACACACTGATACAACAGCACACCAATTCATTGATACAACACACTGATACAACAGCACACCAATACATTGATA